AACAACAACAACACGCAAGTAGGAAAAACGCAAGTAGAGATGTTTATTTTTATTGTACAAATTTATATACTTCGAAAAAATTGCTAAAAATCACACAAATACATAGCTTGGGATACATGTGGTATTTATTTTGAAAGGTTGTTCCTGGTGTTGTAGATGGATAAGGTAGACTAGACTGGGCTTCCTGTGGTGCTGCAATATATTGTGATCATTTGATGATCTTTGAGGACTCTTCGTAAACCTGTTTGTGCAGAACAAAAAGCAAAAATTAATGGCATTTTGTAGGCTTCCTTTAAAATCTTAAAAGCCATCTGCCGTTAGCTCTCAAGGCCTTTCTTGCGCGCAATTACCACAATGGCAATTCGATTTAATCTCTTTCTTTACTTTTTTCTCTTTTTAATAAAATTTGCATTAAAATTATTATTTTTTAGTAATTTTGATTATTATCAAAACGTTTAGTGTACATGTATTTACTTTTAATACAACACTACTTCATTCTGTTTATAATTCTGAGTTTCATTACTATTATTAYTCTTATAATTATTTCTTTACTTGAYATGTTTTTATASTGCAATTATAGCAGTTTCTAGTCGACATTTATTTTAATAGAGGTATCATATTAATTACCACGACTTTTTACCCCATTTCTCATGTATTTAATTACCAAGTAGGCTGGGGTTCTTTCCCTTAAATTATTCAAACAAAAATTTCAATAAATATTATTTGAAGCTCAATTGAACTTCTTTCTGAAATTAATAAAAATGTCATGAAAAGTGAATTCGCCTTTATCACGGTGTCGCCATCTTGGATTTACGTCATAGGTTTTAGCATGAAAACGAGGTTACGCGTGGGACTTGTCACGCTTGATGATGCAAATCATGCCGAACAAAGATCACTGTTGTGTTCCTTTGTGTCAAAATAATAGGTCTAAAGCACAGTCTAATATCACTTTTCATCAATTTCCGAAAGAGAAAGCCTTGAGACGCGAATGGATTGCAAAAATTAAGCGCGATATCGGGAAATCATTCCAGGTAAAGTGAATTTCTTTTGACCTTTGACCCCAGTTCGAGCGTTGTTTACATTCGTTGCGTTATTATTATATTTTCAGATTACCAACAGCACAAGAGTTTGTTCTCAGCATTTTAGACCATCAGATATAAAGAAAACTCTAACCAAAAAAAAAGTACTCAATAAAGGMGCTATTCCGTCCATTTTTGAATGGTCAAAAACGCCTGAAAAGTCTAGAAAGTCCCCAAAGAAACGTCGCCAAACACAAGTGCCATCTGATAGGATTGATGTCGACTTGAATATCGAGCCTGCTTCTAAGACAGGTAGCGCATTCACTACAAAAATACTCTCCTTCATCATTTTATGTCATACTAAGTGTTTGATTTTTTAGTTTCAGCTGAGGTTGGTCAAGAAAAAATTCTGATCGTGGAAGATGAGTCAGTACTGACCGACAGTAGTACTAGTACAACCACTGTTGTAAGCTTAAATACATCACAAGTTGGAGACGCTACAGTCATTACGCCTACTATAAACATGCATGATTACTTATACACTGGCCCTGAAAAAACTACAGAGGAAATGTTGGAGGCTGCACGAAAACGAATAGATGAATTAGAGAGACTTTTGTATAAACAATCAATCTACAAAACGTTACAAGAGATGCCTGACAAGCGCGTGAGGTTCTACACTGGCTTTTCTTCGTATAAAGTTCTAATTTGTACCTTTAATGCCTTAAAGCCTACAGCCGACAAGATGTACTCTTGGTGTCAAGTACAGAGAATCAGGAATAAAGGGAAAACTGAACTAGACAACATGAGGAACACTGTCAGAACATGTAAACTTTCCTTATTTGATCAGTTTTATTTATGTGTTACAAAGTTAAGGTTGGGTACATTTAATGAGCAGTTGTCAGGGGAATTTAACATTTCTGTTTCGACTGTAAGTAGGGTTTTTATTTCCTGGGTTAACTTTCTTTATTTTATTTTGGGCACACTACCCATATGGCCATMTAGAAGCAAAATTAATAAGCACATGCCAAAGTGTTTTAAGTTACTATATCCCAAATGTCGTGGCATCATAGATGCATCTGAAATCAAGGTCCAATCACCATCTAGTATGGTTTTAAATAGCGGGTGTTATTCCTCATATAAGAGCCACACAACGTACAAGGGGAATGTTGTTATATCTCCCTCAGGTGAAGTTATTCATGTTAGTTGCCTTTTTGAAGGTAGCATATCAGACAAAGAGCTCGTCAGGCAATCAGGTCTATTAGATTTGCTTGAAGCAGGAGATGAGATCATGGCAGACAAAGGCTTTACCATACAAGACCTTTTAAAACCACTCGGATGTGATGTTACTATACCTGCTTTTCTTTCTAGTAAGGGCCAGTTTTCGAAGAAAGAGCTTCTGGAAAGCAAGCAGATACACAACTTAAGGGTTCATGTAGAAAGGGCCATTAGAAGGGTGAAAGAGTTTCACTATTTTGATCGTGTAATTCCCCTCACTGTGGCTGGAAGTATTAATCAAATATGGACAGTAGCATGTCTTATAACTAATTTCCAGGGACCTTTGTATTATGAGCATTCATGAATTAAAGGTGGTCACATAATTTATTATTGACAAACATATATACTTTTACTATTTGTAGTCATTCTCTTTCTGTACTAGGAGTAGTGATCGAAGATGCACAATATGTCCTGAATAATTTCCAAGGACCATTTATTTTATGAGCAAACAAAAATAGTACTATTTTACAGATTTTCACTGTACTTGTGTTTATATTTGTTCAGCAATAAAATACTAAGTATTCAACACATAATGTTTGTACTCTAATAGTTACAACTTTTACTAGTAACCTTAGTTCACAGTTTTGTATCCACAACATCAGTGATTTTAATTTAAAGCAAACTACAGGAAGTTTGGATTTGCTTTTGTGTGTGCCCTGACTATTCTATCATTGTAAATTAAAATCCACTGATGTACATATAATTGCAACAGGTTTAGTGAAATCTCTATTTTTCTACATAGAAATATACTTACTCAATGCAAGAAGACAAGTGATAACCAAAATAAAATAAATTCAATTTGTCCAACATTTCTGAAAACACACTTTCATCAAAGTAAATTCTTTCATAGTGGAATTCTTGACGGCAATAGACATAGAAATCTGACCATTGGCAGCCAGTTAAACCTAAGCACCCCATTACTTGGTAGTAGTAGGCATGAACTTTCTTAAGTGAATATGCTCCACCAGAGATCMTCAGATAATTTAAGTTCTCCAGTTTGTCTGCAGGGGAACACTTAATCTCCAAAAGACCCCATGGCTGAGCTTCACTGTTATCATGCACCCTCCTGTCTGGGCTGCAACCAAGATGTGGCACTGAAGGGTTTATCAGGAAACCAACTTTGTGAGTTTCTCTGGCAAACTGTTTGGTATACAATTTGGCAGCCACATCCTCATTTTGTATCCCATATTTCATGGCAGCAGTCTGGATAAATTTGCCTTTGAGAAGGCGCTTTGATAAAGTGTCAAAGTCCTTCCTCCKKGAACAAATGTTCTTGAAATTTGAGGCAGTTAGCCTAAATTTTCTTAGTGAATGCCAAGCATTAGTCATAGATTGCTCCCTCGTCTCAACTTCAAATTCCACAGATTGATTATGGGTTACAGTGAGGGCACTAAAGAATAAATGTTCTCTTTCACCCAGTACAGTATGGCAATAACTGAGTTTGGGAAACTCAAAACCAGGTAGCTGAATACTTGGCTCTTTCTTAGCATTAAGTGGTTGCTGGTAGCTGATCACACAACCTTTAGGGACTTCACCATAGGCTGACTGAACTAGCACCTGCTCTTCCTCTTTGTCTGGCCATATCCTTAAGAAACCAGGATTGGGTTCAATTTCACTAAACGTTTGGGCTAGTATCCCTGGCAAGTCGATGTCTTGGAGCGGCTGTTCAAATGGTTTATAAACAGTACTTCTTACTCCTGACACCTTTCTCTTTTTCTTATAAGGTTCCCCAGTTTGCTTTGGTTTGGACTTCTGGATTACCAGTTTGGNCCTGATCTGTGTTTGAAAGGTTTTGTATACGCTGTACATGAAATATCAGTTTTTTGGAGGGAGAGCTTAGAGAAAACTTTTAAGAAGTTACTCCTGGCAATATTTGAAGAAAAAATACAGACATTTTCAGCATTCTGGTTAGGGTTATTTTCAATTTCATGACATTTCTGTCCTTTATTGTTATTATTTAAGTTGAAATTTCCTTAACTAGCATGCATGCTATTGTTATGAAACCTTATGTACACCTTGAAAGGTGTTCTTGATACATTACTCAACACTAGCTTCAATTTTGGCCTGGATCTTTCTAGTTATTCAGGAGTTGGAATATGAGGCTAAACAGTTCATTTGTCTGTTATTTATCATACAAAAGCAGCCTCAGTATAGCCACATTTTACTTGCCCTGTCTTAAAGCTTTATCAATCACAGTGGATTTGCAACAGTAGAGTGTTAAAAATAAAATTCCAATTTTKGATTTTTCCAATTTTGTTTCCTTAATCTTGAAACAATGTCATGTATTGTGCCATCACACAAAATTGGTGCCATCAGCAGTCAAAATGCAAGCATATATGATTGGATGACCACATAACCCTTCTCAATCTGACTTGTTTCTTACTATATATATATAAACTAAGTCAATTTTACAAGGATTTGTAATGTGGTCATCCAACCATAAAGACAACAACAACAATATGCCGTAAATGGATCTAGGGCGCTTAGATTTGGTTGAGAGCTATTTTCTCTTATGCTCTTTAATGCACTAGTCAATTGAAATCCCAGTTAAAATAAGACATTTCCCCCAGTAGTCAGGGCACGCATTCATTGTTAAAATCCCTGCTACTGTTGCCCTGTTATTTTGGTCTGGTAGTAAATAACAAAACAAATACCTTTCAATCAAATTTTTTTGTGGGGTAGAGGGTGGGGAAGTCATATTAGAAACATTGGTRGGCTATTTCTTGAGACATCAAGATGTGGAAAACGTGCTGGCCACAGCTCCCTGATAATAACCAAGAATCTAACACTAAACAAATAGGAGAAAGAGGTTTCMCTTAGTTTGTGTTTGTGCTAGTGTTGTCTTTCATATTCTCTGACATACAATGTATCTTCAAGTGATGCTTCACCAATGAACCATTCTAAATCCACCCTTTTGTGCCCACTACAAACAAACATAGTGTACTTAGGAAGTTTAAGAAAGCAGGTGCCATTTGCTGACCACTCACTTTTCACTTGAAATTATCTTTCTGTACTCTGTACATGTAACTCTAACCCTAAATGTACTGACTTTTATGAATTTTCATTCTAAGTGTTTCATTTTAAGTGTTATATTACATATGATGACTTTAAGAAGTTTGTGAGCACTCATCAAGTCAGAAATCCTACTTAAAAGTCCATCAAGTTACATTATGTTTTGTTGATTTATCATAAAATAGTGTTTTGTAATGTAACAATTTCATAATTACACTAACTAAGGGTGTAACGGTGATCTAATAGAAGTCAATAATTGTTCKTTCTTTTTTTCCACTAATATCTTTTCTAAAAAAGACTGAATAGTATTTCACAAAGAATGAATGTTTTGGTAGCTTCCTGAAACAATTTGAACTTACATACAAGTGCAGTACATAAATATATGAGGTTGCAAGTCAGTTCAAGTCTTCACTTTGTCTAGCTATTTTGAATAGTAGTTTGAGATTGTGAATGTTTTAATAATGCAATCCAAACATGACTTTCAAACATTAAGCAGTTTATTAAAACCACAAAAAGTTAATTTGACGTTTGACCCAGGATTCAATTCAAAGATTTGAATTATTACTCATTCATGATATTTGACCAAGGCCTAATATTATACATGTAAGGTTTTATAATTTTGAATTATTTACAGTTTTTACTTAGTGTCAGGTCTTATCAGATCACTAGAACTGTCCTCTTGTTTACAGCTGTTTCATTGATGGATTTCCAGTTCCTCCCTCTCTTGGGAGGGACAGGAAGCCCAACAATTGGATTGGCTTTGAAAGTGACTGCCAGCTCTGATGTAATGGACAATTTTTTCCTTACATTTGTATTAATGGATTCACCTATGTAGACATCGCACTCACCCAACCCCCTGCCTGAAAGACATTGAAATTGAGAAAACATTGCCAATCCAGTATGGTCACAACATAAGTTTTTACATAGTATTGCAAAAATCTATTAAAGTTGAGTACTTTTTCWGTTTAGAGTTTAATTGAACAGCATTTTTTTTTTTTGGCTTATAGGACAATGGAAAAACAAAGAGCAACGATGAAAGCGAAATTGGAGAAGATGTGATCGAACAACCAAAAGCAACCCAAAAACAAAGCATTTCTTGTGTTTCTGTAGCATCGTCAAGTACGGAAATCTGTCGTATCTGTCAYTGYGAATCAGARCCAGATCAGCCTTTGATTTCCCCTTGCCATTGCTCTGGTTCATTACGCTATGTTCACCAAAGTTGCCTTCAAAAGTGGATAAAAAGTTCTGATACAAAGAAGTGTGAATTATGCTATTATGAGTTTGTCATGGAAGCTAAAATGAAGCCATTTAGAAAGGTAAGTAGTTGCAAAAGCAATTGGCTGTCTTAAGTAAGTGATWAAATTGAATAAACCCATTTATGTAGAAAGACAAGTGATAGAAAAGGAAAGTAGACGAAAAAAATGAAGTCATTGCCTGATTAAGAAAGTTAATTGGTTGAAAAAAGAATTTGTCATAATTCAAACGGTGAAAATGAAATTAGAAAGACAAGTGGCTCGCACAGTCCATATCGCAACCCGCGGAAAGCCTTGTGACGCAGTGCATTTTGGGATTGATAAATGAGTAAGGGAGCAACGATGTCAGTGCTCCAGTTGTCTGTGATGCAGTCTCAGTTTTCGAAAAATATTGGGAAATATTGATATTGTAGTGAATCTCATAAGCGAAGAAACAAACAAATATCAACATGCAAGGAAATACAGCAAGAAAAACCTCCAAAAAATTGTACAGGGTCGTACAGTTAATAAATAATTTCCATTTACTAGGCAAATCAAGCAAAAATGACTGAACAAATATATGTTGTCTGTGGAAAAATCGAAACTAATTGGTGTTTTTACGATTTTAGCGATTTGTTTTGATGAAGAAAGGGAGATATATATATCCCATGATACATAGCAAAACCATTCAAAATTGCGGGCTTGTGATATGGACTATGAAATGAAGGGGTGACCTACGTAGCACGCAGTTGATGTAATGTATTCATAAAATGTATTCCATTGTTTCTCGTTCTATTGTATTATGTGTTTTGTATTATATCTTTATGAATATATTACATCAACTGAGTGCTACGTAGATTCTCCCATGAAATGAATGCAAAATAAAAGTTCGCGTTGAATGCCGGGACTTAGGCTTTTCTTTTGACACTTACATTTTAATTCCAGTGGCAAGCTCTTCAAATGAGTCAGGGAGAAAGACGCAAGATAATGTGCTCAGTCTCCTTTCACGTGATTGCAATTACATGTGTAGTGTGGTCTCTATGGGTTTTGATCGAGCGCACGGCACAAGAAATACATCAGGGACAATTAGATTGGCCATTTTGGACCAAACTTGTGGTCGTGGCCATAGGCTTTACGGGGGGGTTAGTCTTCATGTACGTACAATGCAAGGTTTATGTGCAGTTGTGGAAACGACTTCGAGCTTTTAACAGAATAATCCTTGTACAGAATTCTGCTCCGGGGATGGACACTGCAGAATACATTTGACCAAAGTATTTTGTACAAAACGGATTTATGTATAAAAAAATGTATTTAGCAAAGTGTGCATGTTCGCCTGGATTACCCTAATTTTGTTCTAAGGACTTCTAGAGAGCGCTTAAAAATGTGTAAATCATAAATCACAACAAATTAGGTTTTACATGTTATATATTTTAAGTAAAGAAATAGCAAGCTGTCGCTGCATTGTCCAGTGAAGTCCAGCTACAGTTCGAATCAATCTTGAATGTGTTGAAGACAAGCGAATTTATCGTGATTCAAGAGGTTCCTAAAGAGAGCTTCTGAACTCATTACASCAAGACAAGTTTTACATGCGAAATATTTTAGGGTCGTGACAAGGCATATATTTTCACTCGTATTCTCGTTTTGGAGCGACAATTTTTGGTGCGTGATCCCAAATATCAAAATTTCATCCCTAATCCCCAAAAATTGAGTGATTCGTACATGTTTTAGTCATGACGACGTTTAAACAGCAGTTTTGAATTCTAATTTTGTTCAAGAGACGTCTAAAAACTGTGCTTTGTAAAATTTCATTTCAGCAAGATTTACGTAACAATATTTTAAGCTAAGATGTATAGAGCTGTAGCCCGAGCTGTAGCCCGAGCTGTAGCCCGAGCTGTAGGATTGGTCAGTGTGTGCTATAGCAAAAAACAGTCTTGAATGAGTTAACGACAAGCGAATTTAGTTTTAGGAAAATGTTAATAGTTTGTACTGTACATGACTTTGTAAAAAATGGTGTTAAACAGAATAATATCAACTACACATAATTACTATAATTGTCGTATAAAATATCTGGTTGTTTTAAGCCAGTAGGTGAGAAATAATATCATATAAAACACGCTACCATATTTAGTGCTTAAAATTATTTAAACTAGAAAATAAACTCTTCATGACCAAAACGTTCCGTGCTTCATTGCTTATCTTAAGTTYCCCATTTTTCAACTGTTCACTTTTCCGTAACRCTGCCAKTTTTTGTTGTTCATTTCCACGACCCAACTCGGGGTGAGAKACTCTTCAGAAGTMTCTTCTTTGTGTATTGTTTCATTTGTGCATAAGCAGTTGTTGCCAGGATGCCTGGCTCCGTATGGCATAATTGCATCGCTGCTTTAAAAATTTTCTCTCGTATATTTTGGAAAATTTCCAAAAAGGCTCRAACTTGAACATAGTGCTACTGGTTGTATGGTCTTTCGTGTGTTGGGGATCGGTCTCCAATAATTTGTTAGGGCGGACCCTGGGGAGGTCCTGATTAGGATAGCTATAGCCACCGCCACTGACTGTTGAAAAATACAGAAATTGAAATTATGAATGACAAATAAATAAAAGAAGAAAGATGTGAATGAGACTCCTTGAAAAAACGGAAAGGAAGAAAAAGAGAGGGAGAGGAAAAAAGAAGACTTATACAACGACAATAATGTAATGTATTCCGAGAGAAATTATAACTAGCAAGTCCTATTAAAATGTATTCATTTAATTCCCCCCTCCCCCCCATTTTGTACCGTTCTGGATCCGCTACCGTAACTAGTATCGTAATGGTAGTAGTCTCATCTCTCAGCCGTTAGGACGTTCGTTCCCAGGTGGGAGTGACCTGGGAAYGAACGTCCTAACGGCTGCGAGAGGAGACTATAATGGTAGGTTTTCGTCCTTTTCTTTTMGAAATGACACGATCTTGATATGTGGTGTTCAATTTTACTCCACCTATACTACTATTACCCCGCCTACGTCTTAAGTGATCGCTGGAAGTRAACGGAGTGCAGAAAATATTCAGCCAACGCAATAAGGAAGCGCAAAAGCCAGGGAGAAGCGTTTGTCTACTTGACTTYCAAGTGACCTCTTTATCGTGTTATAGAAGCGTAATTGAAAGAAAGGTGTCATAGAGAAATAGAGCATTTGATCTTAAGTAAAAAGGAATTTGCTAAAAAAGACCCCAGACCAAAGCCTTTTCTTTTGTCTTTTTGTGGCTATTGCCTCAGAGCGAGGCTCGAGCAACTATGATATCATCTCTAGTGCTTGGTGTAATTTAAATTTTTTTTAAAATAAAGTACAAATGTTGGACTTTATGACGTTCTCTGCAATAAGATGTCGATACATTAAAAAAAAAGCTAAGGAAAGATAAGTGAAAGCATTACAAGTYACTGTTGTTATTCAAAGGTTTCTCCCCTATGACGTCCCGTCTGTTTTCGCGAGATGCATCATGGTACTGACAAAAGAATCAAGATGGCGGCGGATATAAAACTAAAGCTCCTGACTAAAGGACATAATTTCTTAGCGAAATAAACGTCGGTGGTCATTAATGCTTTGGTAGAAAAATTAATAAGATGCCCACTAGATTAAGATCGATTTTGGAAGTGAGTAAAATGCTTGTTTTCAAAACAGCCTGAAACACATCAACATTGCCGGATTTCAAGCCGAGTGGGGACTGGGCAAAATCCCCTAATTGGATAATCACGAGACAAGACTTACATAGAAAGAAAGCCCACGTTGAGAAATGCAAAATTCCAAAATCTGGCGTCAATCAGTTCAATAGTGAACTAGTTACGGCCTTTCAAATATTCTAAAATTTCCAAAGAAATGTATGGGAAGCCGTGAATGTGTCCGGATTTTGACCATTTTCCGGACACATTCGCGAGATCACTTCCGGACACATTCGCGAGATAGAATGTTTGAAATGCTGTAACTCGTTCACTATTAAACTGATGTACATCAAATTTTGGAACTTTGCATTTCTCAACAAGGGCTTTTTTTCTATGTAAGTCTTATGTCATGACTATCCAATTAGGGGATTTTGCCCAGTCCCCACTCGGCTTGAAATCCGGCAATGGCTCCAGTTTGTACATTCTTCAATCCCATAGTGCATTTCACGTCAGGATCGAGTCAGGATATTTCCCAGATGTCATGTACTGAAAAACAGCAAACAAGCAACCAATTTTTATTAATTGTGGGTGAATATAGCCGTCGACAGTACAGTATACAGCAACCTTAATTTGGGTCAGGCGTTTTTAAATCTCTCTGCAAGCTTTTTTACATAGCCATGCATTAATTAAGCAAGCTCAAGTTCTTAGGCCTACTCTTGGCAAGAAGCTGTCTTAAGTCTCCACAACTTAAGRCAGCTTAAGTCAACTTAATAAAGATTGAARGATTAATTGTCGGGGCATTTAGTGACTTTGGCGTCTTAGCAAAAATGAGGGATACGGCTGTCACGGGTTTCTTGGGGTCTTAAGGTGACTTAAGAGGACTTTTTGGAACAGGGTAGACCAGTCTTGACAGTTTGCATTTTTACACTGCTATGTCATGGACGGCAATATGGCGATATACAGATTGTATATCATGTATATAATCTACTGATGTCTGATATGAGATCAGTAAGGAAGAGAAAGATCTGACAGCCCAGAGCGAAGTGACCCTATACAGAGCGATTGCCGACGCTTGAGGTATGTAGCTAGTTTAGTTCATAATTTATAGAAGGATTTCCAAAACACAATTTTGAAAATGTTTCAGACATAGAACTAGACGAGATAAGAAGATTTACCGGAAGGTGTTATYAATATTCAACTGACTACGCGAGCGCTAGTGGCGGCGAGTATCGTCCCAGGAGAAAATAAAAGTCGCTACTATTTATAATCAATCATTTAAAGGCATTTTTGCTGTCAATTGAGCATTAACATTCAATTTCGAACACAGAGCCCGCTCTTTTTCGCCTCATGTAAGAGAACTAGAGAATTCCGGATTACAAGCAGTGGATTCCGGATTCTTCTGAAACATTGGATTCCGGATTCCAAGCCTTGAGATTCCGGATTGCAAAGAGTTTTTGTGTTGGATTGGATTGGATTGGATTGAAATATTGGATTCCGGATTCCAAGCCTTGAGATTGCAAAGAATTTTTGTTTTTGGATTCCGGATGTGTTTTTAGAATTTCAAAATTTTTGCTGGATTCTGGATTCCAAATATTTGGATTGCCGGATTCTAGGATACGGATTCCGGATTC